ACCGACACCAACACCCTGCACGAGGAAAACAACCCCTGCATCAAAGAGTACAACCTCTCCATGAAATGCCTGTACGAGAAGGTCATGAACAGGGAATCTTGCGGGTTGTACTTCGACAACTACAGGATATGCAAAACTTTCTGGACGCGTATCATCAGGGATAGGAGGAGGAGGGGGATAATACCAGTGGTGCCCCCTGTGAGCGAAAGGGAGAAAGTCAAAAAGGAATATCTAGGGACAAAAGGTTTCGAGTTGTAGAAGGAAACGTGATACCAATGGCAAAACAGATCCTATTTAAATGGTCTTTGTTGCTCGATTGAAAGTAGGGTATTTTTATGGGAAAAAGAATAGAATGTTTGTTATTTTAGGTAACTTAGGGAATTTATTAGGAGTATTCTTATGCATAGGTTGTATAGGAAATAAAACTTTGTTTGTGATATACCAAATAAATCTTTATTTGTGATATATTTTTATGATTTTAATATAACCTTCAGCAGTTTAGATCATTGCCATAAATGGACAATGTTTAGGGTGAATGTAAACTAATTAAAGAGGTCAGATACCTTTATTTTGTGATGAACAGCATTACAACAATTATTTTTCTCACATTTATCTAAATAAATATACAATTCCAAAGTTTAGAATCAACAATATTTTAACCATAAAACTTACTGCACCAGATTTGAAAATGCAGAGTAACAAAAATTAGGAAAAAAGTTATGTTAAAAATTCATATATATTTTTTTTTTATTCAACAATTGATTCAAGCTAAAATTATTAAGAATTAATTATTAATAATATTGTGCATTTCAGTCTGACTCATTAATTGAAGATATTTGTCATAAAAAATCCATGTATATATAAAAAGTTTTCTTTTATAATTTGACATTGCATGATTCTTGTCTTCTTAAATATGATCTTTAGCATTATAATTTCAGAAAGAATATGCATAAATTTAGCATTATAATTTCAGAAAGACTATGCATAAAAATTCTGGTTTGAAAATATAACATATGCATTACATACACTCTGACCAGTTTTCAGCACCATAATTCAAACAGGTATACTGAAGCCTTTTCATAATTTGTACACATTATAAACCTTTTATAAGCAAGAGGCAGATCCACATAAAACCCAAATACAAATGAAAAATAAATCTATAAATATTTCATAGACACTGAAATGGGCATAGACCAAAGAAGTCATTCTGAATTCAGGAAATTTCAATGCCATTACTACTGAAATAAACCATAATGCAACTTCGTTTCAGGAATAGAATTATCTTCAGAGCGAGTGCCTGGACACAAAAAAATAACTAAAATGTATATGAATCACACTCACCACTTTAATATCCCTGTGGATGTTTAGGATAGAATGAACAAGCTAATAGTCATTACTCAGTATATAAACAATTTTATTTTCAAGTGTATATTGATGCTGGTTATGTTATTTATCATATGATGAACATTTTTCTGTTTTGCTTACAAGGTTTCATACAATATATACTTCAACAACCCTTACACAAGCTAATAACTTGGACAATAAAAAATAGGAACTTGCAATTTACATCTTAAATCAGGTATTGTAAATGCTCTATTTATTTTTATTTTTTTGGCTTCTATGGATCTGCCTCATAATAATAAAACACATCCAGATAATCAAACTACATATAAAAAAAAGCCTTATTACCCCTTTTCATTCACTCATAAATATAAGATTGAAGACAATTTCTGAACCAAAAGAATCTTTGGTTAATAAGCATGAAATATTGTAAAAATGTGAAATCTTATTGACTCCTGTAATGGGGTTTATAAAATACTCTAATTATTAATTCATACATATCAAAAGAATGATATTAAATCCAGTTTAGAGCAATTTTATGATATTGTTATGTATGATCCCATTACATCAAAGGAACATTAGACAATAAATATTATTCTATTATTCAGGCAGGGGAACTTTGTTCGTTTTAACACTTTCAGTCAGAACCTGAAGTAAAATCATAAAGTTTAAGAATTACCTGTCTATTAGAAAAAAAAATTAAATACAACCTGAGAGACATGATTTTTTTTTTTGTTAGGGGGGAGGGGAAGAAATTAACTTTCTAAAATTCTTTTATACAAATCTCCTTTAACTTAGAAGTAGAAATATGAAGTAGAAGAGATGAACAAATAATACAACCTCCCCTTTTCCTCATGTGATCATACAATTTGTATAAAATACCATAAAGTAAATATAAAGAAACTGATAATATCCTGACGTGAACATATGCAATATATGTCTTACAGTGAACACAAAATCATCATATATCAAAAGGAAAACATATAATATGTATTGATCCATATTAATTTTCATATGCAAGATAAAGTAATGTGATGCATACACAAGTGATACCACATACTGAATGCAAAGCCATATATGATATCATATATGAAACAAAGTAAGATAATATGATATCAAAGAGTGTATGCAGACATAAACATTATTAAATAATGAACACAAAAATTTTGTATGATATATAGTGAACACAAAGCCACATTTCCGATCCTTCTGATTATAGCATCACAGTTTAAGGGATAGTTAATAATAATCATAAAAAAAGAAGAAAAAAAGAAAAAAAAGTGAAATATAACATGTGTGAAATGTTTGGAAAAGGAAATTGACAGACAGGTAATTCTTATGCATTCATGATTCTAAATTCAAGTAACAATTTAATTATTTTCAGAACAATTGGTTTGCAGAAAAAATAAAATATCCAGATTGAACATATATTTGTCTCCAACTTCATATCCTTAACCTCCAAGGTATATGCTATATTACATGGTAATAATGCGGGCACAACTTACAACAACTTTACAACAAACATTGGCTATTGTAGGTTAGAATTATCTTTACTAAATTTTCACAATCTGACAAAACTGTCTATGCTGCAGGAAATTATAAAAGTGTAAGTAATTTAATGCCTTTCCCTAAATCATAACAATATATACACTTATTAATGCTGTTTAAAATGAGAAAATACAGTTAAATATTGAATGCACTGAGATATATAGTATGATGTATTTTAATCACAAGAATAAAAAAGGCCAAAGTATAATATCTCACATATATTAATTCATTACATATTTTGCCAATTTCTTCTTATTGCCTTTGCTCTATGCAATAAACTCAACAGAGATGATTTGAAGATCAATGCACTTTTGACCATTTCAATAAAAAACAACAACTGCAGCCTGTGCCTCTTCCTATAATTTACATCAACTACAAACTTATTGTACAATATCCTAAACATTCCCATATTAATATTTATTATGTAGACAGATCAGTAACAACATTTAAATGCAATAAAAATGCACCAAGGTCAGCTACTACCTACCTTTGATGTAGTCTACTTACATTATCAACAGACTAGATTCATTCCAGCTATATATAATCATATACCTTCACCATAAACATAAAAAGCTAATACCAAAATATAAATTTCATTTCAGATACACTATGAAGTCATCTCAAAAGTAACATTTACAATATGAAGAATGTCATGCAGTATTATCATTTAGTAAGCTTTGATATTACCTTTGTTGGCATTGCATGTTAACTTCTTGATATGGCTGATTCAAGAGTATTAACTGTCTAAGATATGTGCTGTTTTGAACGTTAACATAAAGCAAAACAGCCTTCGAGTCATTCACATGATCATTTTTTTTTGTTTAAATAAGCACATCAGATCTATCTACCAAGAAGGCGAGAAAGCAGCTTCTAAGAGGGAGGAGGACGCTTCAAGCATGTTTCATTCCGTAGCCAATTCTTGTGATGGCTTGGTGGGGCCTCTGGGGGCGCCGCCTCAGGGGCCTTCGACGTCGGAAGGCAGGTCCTCCTCCTACCCCTCCGGTGCCCACTGCTGTTGCGCGTCCTTCAGCCCTCTTGTAGCCGAATCTCGACAGTCTGCCGCGACGAGGGGGGAGGCTGTCGTTCTCGGCGTTGATCCTGTTGTCGTGGTCGTTGTTTCCCTGGTCGCTGTTGTTGTTGTAGATGACCGTGCTGTTGGTGCCGTCGGCTCTGTTGCCGCGGGCCTTCATGCACGTGCGATACAGCCGTCCTCCGAGCCAGCCGCAGGTGCCGTCGGGGCCAGGCAGGCACACCTGCAAGAAGAATTCGTCAGGTGGTGGACGAAGGAGGGATCGTTATCTTTTAATTGTCAAAAAAGTTTGAATTACTATTTAGATTCTGATAATGAGTGTTTTTTCCTGTTCTCAATTACAGTTTGCATTAAATACATACGTTTAACAATTTAAATAGATTTTTAATCAAAATTTCAAGCAATTTTCAGAGAATCTTCTTAATAGTTTCTGATATTTAATTGTTGTGGCAACAAAGCTTCTCTCCTTTTAGGAGACGAAATACTCACAGCATGCCGCCCTTGGCAGTCATCGGCCTCATCTGACGTTTCCCAAGCACAGAAGAAACTGCCTTTGGGACACGACGGCCAAAAGTGACAGGACATGAACTGAAAAACAAGTGTCATTTAGAGAGTAAACACCAAAGGTCTTTAACTCCACATGCAGTCCTTGCAAAGAATGACTGCATATCCAACAAGTTAGATCAGAGAGCAGACAGTGATAATAGACAAATTATCAAGGATAGATAAAAACTTCCACAATGCAACTACGTTTCCACATTACTCTTCCAGAACGACATCAATCACACATCATCTATCGTGAAATTATCCCTTCCTATATTTTTTTTTAATCTGACACATATAGTCCTCTCATCCCCCTAACCAGAAAAAAACCAATTAAAAACCACACGTACCGAGCAGCCGCACCCGCTCTGGTACAAGAGTCTGAACCCCTTCTTCATCTTGGGCGAGAGGGACTTCCAAGGCTGGACGAAGTGGCAGATGTTCGTCCACGGCTTGCTGGCTTCCACGTTGCCGGTTATCACGTAGGTGGTGCGGGACTCCAGCTCCGATTCGCATGTCCCGGGAATCGTGTAGATAAGGCCCTTCTGCAGAATCAGCTGTACCTTTTCCGATGCCTGGGCAAAGACGGGAAAAAATATCAGAATAATGAGAAAAAAATTACTAATGATAATAAATTTACTCATTTGTTTCGTAGCTTCAGTTACATCAATACGAAAGTTATCACTTTCAATACAAGTACATATGATAAACCTTTACATATAGTTTCAATTTTTGTGTAAAAATAACTCAAAGATACTACTGAATAAAGTTAGGGCCTTGCCAGGGTTTCAAAACATTTCAACTTGCAGAGAGAGAGAGAGAGAGAGAGAGAGAGAGAGAGAGAGAGAGAGAGAGAGAGAGAGAGAGAGAGAGAGAGAGAGAGAGAGAGAGAGAGAGAGAGAGAGAGAGAGAAATGAGAGAGAGAGAGAGAGAGAGAGAGAGAGAGAGAGAGAGAGAGAGAGAGAGAGAGAGAGAGAGAGAGAGAGAGAGAGAAGAGAGAA